CTTCTGTTGGGATGAAATGGTCAATAGAGGAAACATGCTGTACACAGTGTCTGGGGGTCAATGTCAGCTCTTACACTTACATCAGGAAGGAACAAATGTAAACTAAGTCACATAGAATAAATCACCTCATTCCCAAGTCAAACGGCAGATTGTGTCTAACTGACTCTGCCAACAGGAGTGTTTGTTTCCCCTAAGTGCTGACAGAGTGTGCTTCTCAATTTGGCTCAGACTCCACTGAGATTTCTGTCACTTAAGATAAGATCATTACTCCTTAATCACTCTATGTACTGTTTCATAATCACTTCTGAGTCACTGCTACTGTGGTGTTAAAACACTAATACAGAATATTGGAACTAATGGTGGAGGAGGGTGGTGGGTGGGGATGGGTGTTACTTACCCTGGGCATACAGGGTCTTCAGCCTCTGTCCTCAGCAGGATGCTCAGGCACACATGTCCCTCAGGTCTTAGGGTGACATCACAGGGATAGCCTGGGGTTTTGGTCTTCAAACTGGTAAACACACACCAGGGTGATGAAAACTTCAAAGGGAGAGAGACATTGCTGTATCCCTCCAGCATTCCCCACTTAGATCATGTCCATGAGTTGTACATATAAGTTTTTGGCTTCTTCATTTTTTATACTATTCTTAGCATTCCATCGTGTATTTTGTATCTACCACTTATGCTTCTTATTCCTTCTACCTTTCCCGATTCTCCCTTCTCTCCCTCCCTGCTGATTATCCTCCATGTGCTCTCCATTTCTGTGATTCTGTTCCTGTTCTAGTTCTTTGCTTAGTTTGTCTTTGTCTTTTTTTTTTTTAGGTTCAGTTGTTGACATTTGTGAGTTTGTTGTCATTTTGTAACAGGGTGCAGCCAAGAGGGGAGCCCCAAATAGGGATTTGTAATAGCATCCAGAAGAGCTTGGAGATAATTGACTCCATACCACAGGGGCACACCTGCCCAGAATGTGGGCAGCTGTGGCCAGTTGTGAGAGGAGCTGGAAATGGGGCTGCAGAGGAAGATTAGTGCTGGGATTTAAATGGAGGCACAGCAGCCATTGGACATCTCTCTTTTTGGGACCATGTATCTGTTTAGGACCACACAGCTTTGGTGTCTTGGTTGGGACCATGAAGCTTGGGTGAGAGTCAGGACCATGAGGCTTTGGAAGTGCTCTCCTTTGCCACATGGAGGGTGCTGGGAGGACTGTGTGCATTTGTGGGGGACTTTAGTTTGTGTTATTTCAAATGAATAATACATTCCTTTCCTTTTCATGAATCTCGGGCATTGAGAGATGTCTTTCCTTTGGCGGTGGACATAACGAATCTGGGGGGTTCCTTTTGGGTAATAATATATTGCCTCGGCTGCCCTTGGACCCCCCCTTTTGTACTGTAACAATTTCACTGTTGATAGTTTTTATCTTCTTTTTCTTAGATAAGTCCCTTTAACATTTCATATAATAAGAGCTTGGTGATGATGAACTCCTTTAACTTGACCTTATCTGGGAAGCACTTTATCTGCCTTTCCCTTCTAATGATTGCTTTGCTGGATAGAGTAATCTTAGGTTGCAGATCCTTGCTTTTCATAACTTTGAATACTTTTTTCCAGCATTTTTTGGGCAAGATTTCTTTGAGATATCAGCTTATAGTCTTATGGGAATGCTTTTGTAAGTAACTTTCTTTTTTTGCCTTATCACTTTTAAGATTCTTTCCCTATCTTTAATCTTGGGCAATGTGTGTTGATGTGGTCCTCCTTGGATCCAAGTTGTTGGTTCCAAAGCTTCCGAGACTCTTAGACCTTCCTGGACTGGTATGTCTATTTCCTTCACCAGATTGGGGAAGTTTTCTGTCTTTATTTTTTCAAATAAGTTTGAATTTTTTGCTCCTCCTCTTTTGCTTCTGGCATCCCTATAATTTGGATGTTGCACATTTGGAAATATCCCAGAGTCATCTTATACTGTCCTCATTTTTTTTATTCTTGTTTCTTCATTCTGTTCCAGTTGAATGTTTCTTTCTTCCTTTTGTTTCAGATCATTGATTTCAGTCCTGCTTTTTTTCCCTTCACTGTTGGTTCCCTGTATATTTTTCTTTATTTCACTTTGTACAGCCTTCACTTCTTCCTTTATTTTAGGGCTGCACTCAGTCATTTCAGTGAGCATCTTGATTATTAGTGTTTTTAACTCTGCATCTGATAGATGCTATGTCCTGGTCATCTAGTCCTCTTTCAAAAGTTTTGATCAGTTCTTATATTTGTCCCATATTTCTTTTTTTAAAGTATATTTTATTGCTTATGCTATTACAGTTTTCCCAATTTTTCCCCTTTATGACTCTTCTGCCCTGTACCACCCAGTCCTGCAACATACCCCTCCTTAATTCATGTTCATGTTTGTACATGTAAGTTCTTTGACTTGTGTTTCCTGTACCATTCTTAACCTCTCCCAGTCTATTTTATGCCTACCAGTTATGCCTCTCATTTCCTGTATCTTCTCCCACACCATCCACCCCCTCCCCATTACCACTGAAATCTCTCTATGTCATGTCCATCTCTCTGATTCTGTTTCTGTTCTACTTGTTTGCTTGATTTTTGCTTTTTTAGTTTCAGTTGTTGATAATTGTGAGTTTGTCATCATTTTACGCTTTATAGTTTTGATATTCTTTGGTCCATATTCCTTTCTCTAGGAACACCTGTTAATGTTGTATGGGGAAGAGGCTTAAGTATTCTCCAGAGTGAGGCAACCCACATGGCTGCATTGTGGAGCTCTATGCATGGGAGGAAACAGAAAGGGAACAATGGCACTTTCTTGGCTCTCTCCACAATTTCAAGATTCTGACAGTTCTCCCACTGCCACTCCCCCACAGGTTTTTACATCAGTGGTTCAGAAGGTTTGTTTTGCCCACTCTGGAACCTTGTGTTGTGCAGTGTGTTTCTCTCCCCTGTTGTTCCTCCCAGTTCACCCACAGGCAAATGTGAGATCAACTTGTCTGTGAGTGGTGGCCTTGCCATCATCCTCTCTGCCCCAGCTGCTGTCTCTGCTGCTCACACCAGCCTAGTTGATTGCTGCATCTTTAGCTCCTTGGTTGTGGGGCTTCCATTCAGTTTGATTTTCTGTTATTTCTGGTTGATTTTTATTTTTAAATTGGTTGTTTCCTTTTTCTGGTTGCACAAGAGGGTGAAGCATATGTACCTATGATTCCATCTTGGCCAGAACTCCTATTTTTCTTTCTATCAATACATACAGAAGAGGCTGAAAGTACCTAAGACTCAATAGGTCATAATAAGGACCATTTTTTCCAGTTCTTCATAGCACCTCCAGGTTGGTGACAATATGAGGCCCAGACAAAAGAACCATGTCCATGGATCCACACCTCACATTTTTACATTTTGCTTATGACACCCCTTATACACACACATGTTTATTAGGGACTCATGGTCCCTGCTCAGTCTCCATGCTTTGCATGCCCATGCATAAGTTGGCCTTTGCTCACTGATTGATGTGGCCCACTTGGAGAGGGGTCCACTTATCTGCACTTAGACTGAACTCAGTGTGGTGGGAGTCACAGAAGGCCTGTGATGGGGGTTCAGAAGGAGAGGTATGACTGCAGTCACTGAAATGGCCATGCTCTCATTGGACTGGTTACTAACTTGTAAGAGAAGAGAGGCCTCAGGATCCTGAGCAGTGGAAGCTTCAAGGATCCCCAGAGTAAAAGTGGAGAACCAGAGGTCAGCCCCTGGATTAGGCAGTCAGAGAAAACCCCCCAACTCCCCAGACCTGGCTCCTGGGCCACATTAGCCCTACTTGCTTCAGGACACACCCAAGCTGCTCCAGTGCAGTTAGGGGGCTGCCTATGTGTTTACGTGTTTCCTGGGGTCCCTCTTGTGTCATGATATAGTTGGGGAGGTCAGTCAGAGGGCATTTGCCTGCATCACTTGGAAAAGTTGCTGTGAACCATGTGGATTGTGCCAACACACCAGGAATGGCCAGAGGACAAGGTTGATTGAAGGAATGTTGGAGACTGGGGCAGGGAAGCACTGGTGCGGGACTGCCTGTGTCAAGTGGTGGCGTGTGTGTGGACCCTAGATTGGGGGGTTGACTCCTGAGAAACTGTCCAATGCCCAATACATCTGATACACACCTGTGAAAATGCACCAGGCTGGGAGGGAGCAAAGCAGATGAAAGCTGCCCAAATGAACCAGGGAATGGCCATTTTTATAAAAGGGATTAAGGTAATGCGAGTGGGATTGGAAAGTGTGAAAGTGTCTTTGAGGCATAAGCTGCCCAATATACACCCCTGACTGATGTCCCCTGGGAAGGTCACCAGTAACCCATGGAGGCAGGCTCAGTGGGGGCACACTCCAGAGTATAAGGGGGAAAAGAGATGAGCCACCACTTGGGGCCATACAGGGGCCAAATCACGGACACCTGATTATCCAGGATAAAGCTGAACATAGAACTCAAGATTGCCAAGTGGACATCCAGGCAAGGGTGAGAATTTCCTTAGGCATGAGAATTGAGGGTGAGGATCTTCATCAGCATGGGGTGGAGGTTTCATGCACATAGATGGTGAGGGTCTTTGTCAGCAGTGTGTGAAGACTTAAGGTCTAGGACAGAGAATGCCTAGAGTGGAGCCCAGCCATGGGAAGTGAGCACACCATCATCTTGAGGCCCACCATGTATCCGGGAACCTGAGCAGGCCACCATCACTTAGGATCTGAGAGCCTGAAAGTGCCCAGATGGACCTGGGGGTGGGGATGAGGGAGGACAGTCACATGCCAGAGACACATTCAGTGTTGGGCTGTGTGGGATGAGGGATAAGATGTCTTTCAGATTCCTAGCATTTTCCCCTTGAGTTGTGTAAAGAATGATTGTGTGCTGGTGGGTGTGCACACTCATGTGTGTGAGAAATGCATGTGTGACGTGAGCCTCCCTAAAGCCTCCATTTTATTCAACCACCAAGAAACAACTTTCGTTTTGCAGATGCTTTATTGAAATGAAAATATATGTGAGGTTTCAACAATTGTCTTGCTTTTGGAGATCCAAGAAAAGAAGGAAAGCTGAGCTGTGGCTTCTACCTGTGAACAGTCGGTTTGTGGACAATCTCTGAGGTCGTGTGGAAGTTAGTACCGAGCACACCAAAAGCTACTGTATATTGCTTGCTGGAAAACAAAAACAGAGACATCACTTACACCTCACTTGTTCCTACCAAGGAACATCCTGAAGAACAAACATGCCTCCTCTTTGTTTTCCTGGATGGGTCCACATGCACTGACAGGAAGCTGGTGCTGGAAGAGAAGCTGGAAGTATCCCATTTGTTCTATCTCAGGTGACCGTGAGTGATGCCAAAGGCTACTGGTGCTGTCCAATCTTGTCCCCCCAGGGTTTGTTCACTTGGTCAGGTTATCTGCATGTTTCCTTATTATTGAACTAACATAGCCAACAATATGCTGTGTTTCAGTTTTCAGAAACTCAGTCCAAAAATGAGGGAAAGTGAAGTTCTGAGTTCCTGCTGGTCAGAAGAAGAGCCAACAGTCCCATGTCTCAACCCAGCACCTGTGGTCGACAACACATTGCAGGTGTGTGCTCCTTATGATTCTTTCAATCCTTTTAAGCCAGGATTGAAAGAAACACCCATCATCTTGAATTGAAGGGCCTGATAATTTAAAATTTTTTACTTACATTGTATACACATACAAATGTTACTCTTTCACAACTTTCAAAGCACAGCAAATTGTGTGAAAAACATTCAGTTGGCAGCACACCTGACCTTCAGGACCTTCTCATCTTGTTGACATGTAACTGCAGGCCCTCCCCAGCTGCCAACTTCCTCCCCAACTTCCCTGGAAACCACTCTTCTATCTCTGTGTCTAAGACATTGGATACTCTACAAAATGTGATATTTGTCTATTTGTGACTGGCTCATTTGTTTTCCCACAGTTCCTCAAGGTTCATCCATGTTGTCCCCTGTATCAGGAATTCCTTAGGGATGTGCACTTTCCTCTTTGTGCTGTGGCAGTGTGTCCAGGTGGTCAGCCTGGACTGTTCCAAATGGTACATTAGGGCAGGGAATGAGCACTAGAAAACACTACACAACATCTGTTGTACATGGAAAGACTGTCGCATGTGAAACCACTGACTCCTGATTTCCCCTCTGCCACCACTCAGGGGGCATTCACAACCATGGTTTCTGTGTGTCACTCTGGGGCCTTTGATTCACAGTGAAGGAATCCACCCACTGGTGCTAGCACACCTAGGTTGCTTGACAGTGCACTGAAGGTTGTGTTAATAAGATGGAAGGAACCTTCCTGACAAGCATGACCACCACGTGCTTCGAAAGAGTTTTCACAAACTGAGAGCCTGCATGTCCTGTCCCACAGTTCAAACACAGTTTAAGAGACACCAAAATTACCTGTAGCTTTTGGACGTTCTCCAGAGTTTCTCTGCTCTGATGGAGAAAGCATTCCTTCATGAATATGAAGGCCTTTTCTGTTTCTTCACCTGGTAAGAACTCTTTGAGGTTATCGATGTATTGAGTCACGTTCACATCAGGATCAATGGTCATATTGACCACCTCATCCAAAAGATTGCATCCAATCCCTGGGACAAAAGCAGGCAAATGCAGGCTCAGTGACAGAGGTGTGAGCTCTGTGTAGGGCCTGACTGTGATGCTGTCATCTTACCTCCCCACAAGGACATTTGCTCAGAGAGGCTGTGGGAAGGGTCTGAGTCCTTAGTTCTAGGAGACTCAACTCAGGACCTGGGATTTTCTTTTAGCCCTAAAGCATTTGCCTCCTTATACTTTCCCCCACCCAACCACATTCACACAGCACTGACACTAGAGAAATGGGCTGCTCTGCACGTGGTGTGGAGGGGGGTAGGGTTGGAAGCAGCAGCACTTGCACAGGTGCCCTGAGCATAGCCTTCCTCCAACACCTGCACTGTCCCCATACTCACCTGCATAACAGTAAAGGGGGAGGGCGGTCAGCATGAGGACTGCCACCAGCTTCATGGTTCAAGCAGCTGCTCTGGGCTGGTCACTCTGAAGTGGTGGGGAAGAAGGAGCTCCTGCTGGACATGGCTGTCCAGAGCAAAGCCTTTTATTCTCCTGGTGGGTGCCCTAATGCCTCCCATAGATGACAGGATGAGTCACATGGTAAACCTGATCCTGAGCCAGGAAGGGACTAGGAGAATCTCCCAGAACCAGCCCTCCTGGGCTCTGTTCCTACAACCTGAGGGGACAGATCTTTGAAAACCCTCAAAGGTCTCAGAACTGCAAATATGGTGAGGATGTTAGCTGAAATTAACATCAAAGTGCTTGCAAACTAATAAGGCGAATGACAACCTTGTGAGCCTCTCTTGTTATCCCTGTTGCTTTATTATTGTTGTGGTTCTCATTCTCTCTCCCCCCTTCCCCAATTCTTTCTCCCCTCCTCTCTCCTATTCCTTCTTCACCTTCCACTCTTCCTCCTTCTCCACCAACCTCCTCCTTTCCTCTTCTTCTCCCACCCTGTTACTGCTCTTGTTTCTCTTTTACCTGTTCAGGGTACAAGAACACATTTCACATTCAGTCTGTGTTCCTCCTGATTCTGCAAACACCTGGGCTTAGTATAATTCCATATGCTGCCTCTGGAGGGCAGATTTTCCTCATCCATAGACTGCAACCCAGGTGCTTTTGCTTGGGAAATAGAAATAATTTCTCGTCTTCTTTGAAGGTTGTTTTTTAAAATGACTTTCTCAGTTAGGTCAACTTCATAAAACTAGTCATAAATTCATAATTAAGTTTAGTGATTTTTAGTTCATTAAGATTTTTGTTCCACTGAATCAAAGAGTGGTTAACAAAGTGTGATTACAGATGCTGGGAGGAAGGGAGTGATGTCTGGTGAGAGGATTATAACCTGGGTTCATGTAGCTGTAGATTTTAACTTCCAGTGCAATCCCTAATCATGACATGTTCTTTAGCAAGTTACAGTGCTGGTTGTCCCCAGGTCCTACAGGGGTCTAGAGACCCCTGTAACTTGCTGCTACTTTACATTTTCTATGAATCTAGAAATATTCTTATTCTGTTAGGAGGAAAACTACCACAGTTTAAAATATGCCCTATATTTTGATCCATTCTTATTTGATATTTGCCTGACACTTTCTTGAAGAGTTTTATTGAGGCATCATTTACACATTGCTTTTGAACATAGTCTGCCTCTTGGTGGCCTGTTAATCTTCTCAGAGTGTAGCTCCTACCTGTGCTACTTACTTCCAGATTTAGTAAATCATAGATGGAAAATCATTACACAACAATTACTTGATGCAAGGCCTTGTGATCACTGCTTTTTATCCTCCCAACAACCCATTGAGCAGAGTGATGGAGAAATTATTGGCCAAACTGAGGGCACTACACAAGGTAGATGAGGTCACACAAAGGATGGAACAGCAGGACACTACCATAGACCAGGCCTCTGCTGAGCAAAGGGAGATGTGTGTTTTCCAACTCACAGGGCAAGCATATTAATTCTCCCCAGTTGTACCAGGTGGGATGGAGAGGACAAGTAACCTGACCAAGGGCACACAGCTAGTGGGTGGCAGAGGCACCTAAGGAGCCAGATGTTCTGGCATTAGAGACAACTCTCTACACTATTGACTGTCTTAGTGTGACCCCTATGGGCCTTCACCTCATGAGTCAAGAGGACTCTTGTGACCTTGTCTTGCCCAACTCCCCTTGTGGACTCCAGGTAGATCTCTGAGCAGGTCCCACAATTTTCTGTTGAGGCCATTGTTCCACCTGAAGTCTTCTCCTCTACTCTCCCTGCCTGAGTCCCTTAAGCTTAAAACTCCTTATATATTCTCAATGCCGCATCAGAGACTGCCTACCTCCTATGTTATTTCATGGCCCAGAATCTCTGGGGATCTCCTTTTCAAGACCCCATGGCCCTCTGTGTGCAACTTTCTCCTAGTAAGTTTTACATGATGTTATGGTTCTTCTCTCTGTGTGTAGCTCCTAGTGACCTGTGCTCTTCTGCTCCTTGTGTGACAAAGATGACACAGTAGTCATTGAATTAGTGTGTCTATAACTGGCTTTGGGGACACATGTTGAGATTCTACAAAGAATATAATTACACAACATGTGTTATTTTGAGGTGTTATCATAAAGAGAAGCTCGTTTAAATTAGAAACTCATGTAAAGGCAAGATTCCCACCCAAGTCTATGCCTAGTACCAGCCTGACGTCCTGGTGCTAATACCACATTCTTTGTGTTTCTGGAGAAAGCTGTGGACTCAGCCCCACAGGCAGGGCCAGGTGAGGAGAGAAGAAGTTGGAGCCCTGGCATTCAGGGACTGGGCCACCTCAGCCCTTCTGTTCCCCAAAAGTAAACATGCACTTGATCCAACCTAACCTGGATCCATCCAATGACTTGGGACAAGGAGCCAGAGTTGGAAGCTGAGTCAGGATCAGGTGTCACCTGCAGCTATTCTCCTTGGCTCAGTCACCAAAACCCTGAACTTTACACAACTTGACGTTTCTACAAGATGTGTGGTTAAATATTTAATTGGCACACATTCATGACATTCACGGGTTCATTGGATTTCTACAACAAATCTCTGTTCAGTTACTTATTTCCACTCTGCTCATGCTCACATTTTCTTGCTAACCATGGGACTCCAGGGCCTGCTATTCTGGCCCTTAGGGGCATTAACCCATAGAATATGGGAGATCTAACAATGCATTTCCACACTGCTAGAACCACAGTTCTCTACTGAATGGATCTTTTCACTCCTTGCACCCATCCCTGTGGACATTTGTCTACATCCAGAGATATTTTGAGTCCCCAAAGAGTGGGTGTGTGTTATTTACATCAAAAGGGTGAGACCAGGTGTGTTGCTAAACAACCTGTGATGCTCCAGGATTCCAAAAATGAGAGTCTCATCTCCATTGGCACTAAACCCATGGTGGAGACTCCCAGTTTGCACTATGTCACACCTGCCACAAATCACTGCCCACCTTGTGGCAAGGGGTGAGGAGTGCAAGGGGGCCTCAGTGGATACTCTTTGGGCAGTGAGTGGAGCTCCAGTGCTGACTGATGCCACAGCCCTGTCCATACTCCTGTGTTCAATACTATAACTGAGAAAGTTAATTCCTATTGTTTTAAGCTCCCCAGCTTGTGGTAGTTTGTTACAGCAGCTGTAGGAATGAATACCTGAAACCATCTCTCATCCCGTCCTCCCTTCACTTCACCTCAACCTGTTTCATTTTCTTCCCAGCAATTACCTCTTGTTCTCTGACGTGTTCCACACCCTTCTCTCCTTTCTACCCACCTCCGTGGACAGCAAATGTCGTCAGACTTGTCCCCGGATCTGTCTCATCCACTCCTGACTTTCCAGTAGCTGGCACCATAGCTGACACACAACACAGATAAACACATGAGTTAATTAGCAACTTGAATGGTGCTCTTTCCTTCCACATTCCTTATCATTATCATAGTCTAGGCAACCATAAAAACAAAAAGGAAGAACAAGGATCTTCTTCCCTGATATTCTTTTAACAAATACAACACATGTGATTCAGCCTAGATTTCAGGTTGACCTGAGATGATGTGCAGCATCTTAATCTATTTTTTTTGGCCAAATTTTATCTCTGTAAATTTGAATCCTGTCCTTCCCTGACATCTGTCTTACACTTCCTGTCACTGTCAACATTTTCTAAAAAAGGTAATGATACAGAAGCATTGTTCCCAAAATGAAATAATGAGAAAGAACTCCCAGTGAGAAGCAATAGCCACCTCTCCAAACTGGTCCACAGCTGCTGCGCCAGCCTCACCTGCAGCTTCTTTCACTATGTCTCCTGCTGTTGACTGTGGGATTATTTTCTACTCTTCTCTGTGGATGCGTTATAGACACCCATGTTCTGTCCTGTGCTCACCGGATTGCATGCTTCATCGTTCTTTATTTAGGCCTTTTTGTAGAGCATATTCCCTCCTCCATTCTGAGAAAAAGATCATTGGTAATAAAACTTTTGAATATTTGCAATTCTGGAACATATTTATCTTCATGCTTATAGGCTAGCTGACTGTATAAGATTTCTAGTTGTATACAAGTATAGGTCAGAGCCTATGAATCTTCAGTATTACTTTGCAGTTTTCAGTCTTGTGTTGATTGAATTTTTATTGTCCATCTTTTCCTGTGACTTAGTGTTTCTGATAGAGATAAATCTGGAAGAGTCCTGACTAGACAGTGGCGGGGAAGGGGGCGTGGTAAGAAGGGGCTGAGTGAGGGATGGGTTGCATGTAAGAAGCAGTGTAAGTGGAAAGGGGGAAGCCTCTAGTTCAGCGTGTGACAGATTTCCCTCTCCTCAGGCTGAGACTCAGGGAGATGGAGGCCCTGCCTGGAGTCAGCTCAGGCTGGCCTTGGTAGTTGACACAAGGAAAAACCCTCCAACTCCTTTCCAGAACATCGTGGCAGGGGCAGGGGATGTCCTGCTAGTCTCACTTGGAAAAAGGATGGGATTGGCTGGGGAAGCAGAAGCCTCCACGATTGCTCAAAATTTTTGGCCTGAAGATGTAAAACAGGGTCAGAAGAAACACTCCAGTTTTCTCCCCCTTGCTCACTGTGTGGAAGTCCCAGTGACTGCCAACCAGTGGGCACTACAAGCCACTTTGCCAGGGAAGAAGACCTGCCCCTTGTTCCAAGCTAGTAACGGGCAGCTCAGGAGGTGACTGCTGCTGCACTACCCTAAACCACTGGTTACACGGATGCAGAGGCGAGCTGACAGCCAGAGGGATGGGGCACAGGTGCTGGGCTGAGGAGCACCAGTGGAAGAAAGGGCAATGCGCTACATGTAGGGCACTTACTACCACCAGACTTTAGGAGAAACCTGAGGCCCAAGAGTGAAGGGGAAAGAAAACATGTTGCCTGGACAACTGTGCAGCAGCCACTTGAAGAATCTGAAGGGATGGGAATTTTAAATGGGAGAAGTAACTCAGGGTGCACCTTGTCTCTGTCTGGCAGAGAGCAGCTGGGGGTTTTCTGGATGTTCTAGAGGGAATAGGCTCTGTGGTAGAAGATTGCCATTCTTTC